GCATTAATTTTGTATCCTTGCTACATTGCCGAATTTATTAAGTCGACTGATTTTTTGAGGGAGTCTTTAGGGTTTTTCTATGTACAGTATCATGTCATCTGCGAATAAGGACAGTTTTACTTCCTCTTTTCCAATTTGGATGCCTTTTATTTCTTCTTCTTGTCTAATTGCAATGGCTAATACTTCCAGGACTATGTCGAACAGGAGTGGTGAGAGTGGGCATCCCTGTCTTGTTCCTGTTCTTAGGGGAAATGGTGTTAGTTTTTGTCCATTGAGTATGATGTTGACTGTGGGTTTGTCATATATTGCTTTTGTTATGTTGAGGTATAATCCTTCTACTCCCACCTTGCTGAGAGTCTTTATCAAAAATGGGTGTTGGATTTTGTCAAATGCTTTTTCTGCATCAATTGATATGACTATGTGATTTTTATCTTTCAATTTGTTTATGTGATGTATCACGTTTATTGATTTGTGGATATTGTACCATCCTTGCATCCCCGGGATAAATCCTACTTGGCCATGGTGTATGATCTTTCTGATGTACTGCTGGATCCGATTTGCTAGGATTTTGTTGAGGATTTTGGCATCTATGTTCATGAGGGATATTGGCCTGTAATTCTCTTTCATTGTGTTGCCTTTATCTGGTTTTGGTATTAGGGTGATGCTGGCTTCATCGAATGTAACCTATAGGTTTAAATAGTTTATTGTTGATTTTTCTGATTTTTTGAGGTAGGCCTGTAGTGCTATGAACTTCCCTCTCAGGACTGCTTTTATTGTATCCCAGAGATTTGGAGTTGTGTATTCACTTTCATTTTTTTCCAGGAAGTTTTTTATTTCTTTCTTGATATCGTTGATAACATATCCAGTGTTTAGTAACATGGTATTTAGCCTTCATGTGTTTGGTTGTTTTTACTGTAGTTGATTTCTAACCTCATTCCACTGTGATCTGAGAAGATGCTTGATATGATTTAAATGAGGAATCTTAATTTTGGATTTTCATTTATTTTTTAGAGCAGTTGTAGGTTCACAGCAAACCTGAGTGGAAGGTATAGAGATTTTCCCTTCATCTCCCTGCCCCGACACATGTGCACTGTTCCCAATTATTACCATCCCCGTCCCGATGGTATATTCTTTACAACCGGTGAACCTACACTGACAGGCCATTATCAGCCAGAGTCCGCACTTTGCATTACTGTTCACCCTTGGTGTTGCACAGCCTATGGGTTTGGACAGGTGTATAATGACATGTATCCATCCTTATGGTATCATACAGGGTAGTACCACTGCCCTAAACATGCTCTGTGCTCCACTTATTGATCCCCCAGTTCTCAATGCCTGGCAATCACTGATCTTTGACTGTCTCTATAGTTTGCCTTTTCCAGAATGCCACATAATTGGAATCATGCGATATGTAGCCTTTTCACTTAATCATATACAGATTGTCTCACACACAATGTACACACACTTTGAATAATTATTAATTTCAATGGGTTAAATCTGAAAAGAAACATCAACTGACCTATCAGGAAAAAAAAGTATGTATACATTTTGGGGGATACCCTATATATTTAAGGTTCCCACACATTTTTTTCATGTCTTGACAGCTCATTTCTTTTTAGCACTGACTACGTTTCCACTGTCTGGATGGACCATGATTCATTTACACATTCACCTACTGAAGGGGATCTTAGTTCCTTACAACATTTGTCAGTTATGTATAAAGCTGCTAGAAACGTCTGTGTGGACATAAGTTTTTAACTCCTTTGGGTAAATAGCAAGGAGTGGTAGATTGTATGGGGAGAATATGTTGTTTTGGAGGAAACTGTCAAACTGATTCCACAGTGTCTGCACTGTTTTGCGTTCCCACGGGCAGTGAATGAGAACTGTTGCTTCAGACCCTCACAGCGTGTGGTCTTGGCAGTGTTTTGCATTTTGCCCATTCTAACAGGTGTGCAGTGATAGCTCATTGTTGTTTTAGTTTGCATTTCCCTGATGACATAGGATGCAGAGTAGCTTTTCATATGCTTATTTGCCATCTGTAGATTTTCTTTGCTGAGTTCTCTGTTAAGATCTTTGGCCAATTTTTAATCTTTTTTTGTTTGTTTGTTTGCTTGCTTTCTTATTGGTAAGTATTAAGAGAATTTAATACTTAGGGGGTATATTTTGGATAATTAGCCCATTAGCAGATGAGTCTTTTGACGAGATCGGGCGCGTTCAGGGTGGTATGGCCGTAGACCAGATGAGTCTTTTGAAAATATTTTCTCTCATTCTGTGCCTTGTCTTTTCATTCTATTGGCACAGTCTTTAGCAGAGCAGAAAATGTTAAATTTTTTTAGTTTTGTAATCTTTATTAATATAAGATCATCCCCTAGGGCTCAGCTGCTAGCTTTTTAAACAAATTTCAAAGGCAATTTCACAGTTCATTTAATAGCACACACTCCTAACTGTAGCCCCATCACAAAACAGACAAGGAGAAATCGCTTCAAACTGTTGTCTCAGAAATGTTACTGCCATTAAGAGTGGTTCAGCCTTAACTTCTGTAATCAGCCAGTGTGTCTTCAACTGCCACGTGCATATTGATTGTGACATGCAAAATGCATCTTGTTTTCACAGGCAGATTTCAGCCGAGATCCACAGTCCCAAAACAAAAAGGGGAAATAAACGTTACAGGGCCAATTCGAACATATACTTCAGGGACTGTGTAACCGATAGAAAAACTTTCACAATTAGTGGATATGGGGAAAGGGAAGGGAAGGGAAGGGAAGGGAAGGGAAGGGAAGGGAAGGGAAGGGAAGGGAAGGGAAGGGAAGGGAAGGGAAGGGAAGGGAAGGGAAGGGAAGGGAAGGGAAGGGAAGGGAAGGAGACAAGATCAAGGTACTCAGAGTCTCAGACCACCAATATATGAATAATTTAACAGCATTCAGCACCCATGTATAAGACACATTTTCGAAGTGGAAAAGAAGTTCTTAAAGCGATTGACTAGACCAGTGGTCAGCAAACTCATTAGTCAACAGAGCCAAATAGCAACAGTACAACGATTGAAATTTCTTTTGAGAGCCAAATTTTTTAAACTTAAACTATATAGGTAGGTACATTGTTATTAACTTAATTAGGGTACTCCCAAGGCTTAGGAAGAGCCACACTCAAGGGGCCAAAGAGCCACATGTGTCTCGCGAGCCGCAGTTTGCCAACCACGGAGTCTACCATCAGTAATCATCAGACTCCTGTGTATGACATCAGTGTAATTCAACTTAATCTCCCTTAACAATTTAAAAGTTTTCAGAATGTATTCCAAGGTAATAGTTCATTTCAAACCTATTTTAATAAGTTACCCATGCACTAATTTGTATTTATATATTCTCTATGTGTCATTTTAAACATCATTGATAATTAAAATAGAATAGCCATGTTGAAATTAAAAGTTTAGACAAACTATCACTGACTTGAATATATTAATGACTAAGAAAAGGTAGCTCAAAGCTTTACAGATGAATGAACCTGACAAAAACATGTCAGGGCATGTTTAAGAAATTTGTCCTTGTGACCTGTCCTTGACCACCTTTCTATTTTGTGTGGTGAATCCATAAGAAAAGAGTGTTTTCAACAAAGTAGTATATCTTAGTGCTTTGAAATGAAAATAGTAACTTAAAACCTCTCTTTGGTAAAAGCAGAGCATCAGTTTGGAATTACACAGATGCCAAAATGAAAGACACGTGGAATGTATAAATTAATCCCAGTCAGTGTTACAAGCAGTGGGAGAGGTCAGAGGTCAACCAAAGGACTTGTATGCATGCATATGAGCATAACTAATGGACACAGACTGGAGGGAGGGGCAGGGGGTGAGGGTGGCCGGGGAGAGGTCAATGGGGAAAAAAGGAGACTAATGTAATACTTTAAACAATAAAGAATTCTTTTAAAAAAGCAGTGGGGGGGAAATGTCACCAAAAAAGAGATGTTATGAATAAAAAATAGAATGTATATTTAGATAATTACAATCTATAATTCTATAAAAATTGCTAGAATTCAAACATCTTTTTAATATATTTCTGGTGAAATCAAAGTCAAAATATAATACTTGGGATTCCTCCTTCTCCAAAGAAGAAATTAAATTAATCAAGTAATTTGTTCTCTAAAATACTCTGCAAATTCCAATTCACAAGAAGTTTACAAAACATGATAAACAATAAAACGTTTGTATGGATGAAAAGCTACAATTCCAATCTTTGCTACCTCAGCAAGGCACTTTCCATATACACATCAATATAATAGAAATGGCACAGTTTCTGAGAACACAATCCACATTTTATTTACTAATACATTTTAAGACTAACTTTAATCTCAAAAATCACATATACAGACACCTATTTATTTTTTGCTGATTTCACTTAAATTTAAATGCATGGTTTGCAAACAAAGACTGTAAACAAATATTTACATGTCTCCTACATGTAACACAGAGAAACAGCTTTTAACAGACATTTATTGACCTTCCCATGGCCTTTTTTTAGTATAAATACAGGTATCAAAACCATCCTGAACATATTTTTTATATTATTGGTAGTCAGCACTCACACCACTTCAAACATTAAAACAATTTGAGACGATATTCATTGTACCTGCTAGTTTGACAATGTAAACGGAAGCTCTTTCACTAAGCAGATGGAGAAAGCCTGCCATTCTCTTTTTCCTTGTTGAGATTTTTACTTTTTAGTAAAAATCACCACACTTCCGTCTTGTAAACCTGAATTCTGTTTTGAATATTTCAAGTTTATGTTTAAATGACAGTGCCTTAAAAAAAATTATGCTGCATCTTTTCTCCTGTTACCTGAAAACATAATGTGCATACATATATTACGTATATTCTTACACACGTCCGGGTCATGTTTACCAGCCGGCATTCTTTCACTCAGTGTGTGGGTATTCTGCATTGTGATCTTTAATCAAGACATTAACACGAGTAGGAGATTGTTGATTTAAGACAAGTTTGAGATCCACTAAAATTAATTGTTGTATGTTTGTCCTCCTGGCGGCTGTGGGAGCTTCATATTTCCTTTGGACATCATTAGACGTCTTAGTTCTTGAAGTACAACTTGAACGCTATATGAATTTTGCCATTTTGCTAATACTGGTATGCTCCGTGCACCTACTGGAATTATTTATTCCATGCATGTTAATTTTGGTTACAAATCTAACCGATGGAGGAGCTTCTGGGTATTTAGGTCCACATTCTACTTTCAGGCTATATATTCTGTTTTCATAATTTATCCTTAGAGGCCCAATAATCATGCCTGTCCACCTTGTGTCATATCTTCATCATCTTCAAAGCCTCAACTAACTGTACCATCGCCTACTCCTTTTTGTCTTTCTTCAAGTTCTTCCAACAAGCAAAAATTACAAGGAACTTTAACTCCTGTGGATACTGCCATCTTCTTCTGCACTCAGACGCCGAAAATTTTAATTTTAATGAAATCCAGCGTATCTATTATTTCTCTTATGGATCAATATTTTTCTAAAAGGACATTTCCAAGGTCATCTTGGTTTTCTCCTATGTTGTCTCCTAGGAGTTCTATAGTTTTGTGCGTTATGTTGAGGTCTATGATCCATTTTAAGTTCATTTTTTGTGAAGGATGTAAGGTCTGTATTAGATTCATTTTTCTTCATGTGGATGTCCAGGTGTTCCAGCACCATTTGCTGAACAGGCTGTATTGTCTCCATTGTATTGCCTTTGCTCCTTGTCAAAGATTAGTTGACTATATGCAGGTGGGCCTATTTCTGAGCTTTCTATGTTGTTCCTTGGATCTAGTAGTGTGCCTTTGCCAATGCCACCCTATCTTGATTACTGTAGGCTTATAGTAAGTCTTGAAGCAGCGTAGCATAAGTCCTCCAACTTTGTTCTTCTCCTTTAATATTGTGTTGGCTATTCTGGATCTTTTACCTCTCTGTATAAATGTTAGATTTGGTTTGTTGATATCTGCAAGATAATTGTGGAGGCTTTGATTGGGATTGCAATAAATCTGTAAATTGATTTGAGGGGAACTGACAAACTGAAAATATTGAGTCTTCCTATTCATGAATATGAATTCTCTCTCCATTTATTTAGTTGTTCTTTGGTCTCAATCATCAGTTTTGTTGTTCCCTCAAATAGATCTTCTATGTATTTTGTTAGATTTATACCTATTTCATTGCTCAGGTACTATTGTGAATGGTATTGTGTGTTTTTAAAATCTGATCCCATTTGTCATTACTGGTATACAGAAGAGCAATTTACTTCTTCTTCTTTTTTTTTAATCTTCACCTGAGGATTTTTTCCCATTGAATTTTAGAGATAGTGGAAGGGCGGGGGAGAGACAGAGAGAGAGATATTGATGTGAGAGAGAGACATCAATTGGTTGCCTCCTACACACACTCTGACTGACCTAGGGCTAGGGATCCAGTCTGCAACCCAGGTATGAGCCCTTGACCGGGATCAAACCCTTGGCCCTTCAGTCCTCGGGTTAATGCTCTTTCCACTGAGCCAAACCGGCTAGGGCTACTTTTATATTTTAAAATTGTAGCTTGTAAACATGCTATAACCACTTATTAGATCTAGAACTTTTGGGGTTTTTTTTTGTCAATTGTTTGGATTTTCTACATAAATGATCTCGTCATCTGCAAACAAAGACAATGTGGAAAAGCAGTGGTGAGAGGGGACATCCTTCTTGAGGACCTGATCTTAGTGGAAAGCTTTGAGTTTCTCACTATTATGTCTGATGTCAGCTGTGGGATTTTTGTAGATTTTCTTTTTTTTTTTTTAATCCTCACCTGAAGGATTTGTTTTGCTGATGAGAGAGAGAGAGAGAGAGAGAGAGAGAGAGAGAGAGAGAGAGAGAGAGAGAAACACCAATCAGTTGCCTCCCATACACACCCACACCAGAGATCAAACCCACAACCGAGGTATGTGCCCTGACTCCGAATCGAACTGGCAGCCTTTCAGTGCACGGGATGATGCTCCAACAAACTGAGCCCCCCGGCCAGTGCTGTAGATATTCTCTATAAGTCAAGGAAGTTCCCCCCTATTCCTAGTTTGCTAAGATTTTTATCATGCATGGGTGTTGGATTTTGGCAAATGCCTTTTCTGCATCTATTGATATGATAGTGTGATTTATTTCCATTTTTAGCCTACTGATGCAATGGATCACTTTAATTGATTTTTAAATGATGAACCAGCCTCTCTTGCATACCTGGGATAAATCCCACTGGGACATGGTGTATAATTCTTTTTATACATCATTGGGTTCAATGTGCTAATATTTTGTTGAAGATTTTTGCACTATGTTCATGAGAGATACATTGGCCTGTAGTTTTTTGTAGTGTCTTTGATTTTGCTATTAGAGTAATGTTGGCATTGTAGAATGAATTTGGAAGTATTTCCTCTGCTTCTGTCCTCTGAAATGGACTGTAGAGAATCAGCATAATTTATTTCTTAAAGGTTTAGTAGGATTTGCCAGTGAACTTATCTCAGGCGTTGCTTTCTGATTCAGAGAGTTGTTAATTATTGATTCAGTAATGATTCAAAAATTATTGATACAGTGTGGGCAAAAGTAGGTTTATAGTTGTTCATATGGGAATACAATAACTAATCCTATACTAATAAAAGACAAACATGCAAATTGACCATACTTTTGCTACACCTTAAGCCATGCTCACCAGCCAATCAGAGCAACTATATGTAAATTAATCCAACCAAGATGGCAGCTGGTAGCCACGGAGCTGGAGAGAGCAGGAGGCTTGCTTGCTCCAGTGATGGAGGAAGCCAAGCTTCCCTGCCTGCCGCGGCCCAGCTCTGAGCTCCACTGAAAGCAACAAAGTTTCAGTTATAGAAACTAAACAAACCCCAGATACCTGCTTTCAGCCAGCTGTGGCCACGGAGCTGGAGCGAGCAGGAGTGGGTTGCCCCTGGCAATGGAGGAAGCCAAGCTTTCCGCAGGCCTCCACTAAAGGCAACAACGTTTCAATTATAGAAGGTAAATAAATCCCAGAATAAAAAAAAAGAAAAAAGAAAAAAAGGAGAGGCTGGGAGCTTACATTGCCAGGGTGCTTGGCCAGCCTGAAAACTGCCCTCAGCCCCTCACCCAGACTGGCCAGGCACCCCAGTGGAGACCCCCCACCCTAAAGGGCGTGTATCCAGCCTGAAAACAGCCATCAGCCCCTCACCCAGGCTGGCCAAACCTCCATGGGATGAGGGTCCCCACTGGGGTGGACATCCTCCGAGGGGTCCCACACTTCAAGAGGGCATAGGCCGGGCTGAGGGACCCCCTGAGTGCACAAATTTTGTGCACCAGGCCTCTAGTAAATAATAATACAAGAATAAACTCTGTGTTTCATGTAGTCACAACTATAAACCTATTTTTGCCCAACCCTATATAGAGATCTATTTAGATAGTCTACTTCTTTTTGTGTGTGTTTTGGTAGATTATATCTTTCAGGGAATTGACCCATTTCATCTAGGTTATCAAATTTCTAGGCATAGAGTTCATACTATGCCTTTATTATCCCTTTAGTGTCCATAAGGTCTGTAGTGATGGCCCCTCTTTCATTTATGATATTAGTAACCTGTGTCCTCTCTTTTTCTTAGTCGGCCTGGCTAAAAGCTTATCAATTTTATCAACCTTTTCGAAGAATCAGCATTGGTTTCATGATTTTCTCTAATGATTTACTGTTCTCATTTTTACTGATATCTACTCACATTTAAAAAATATTTTAATTTTAATTTATTTTTATATATTTTTATTGATTTCAGAGTGGAAGGAAGAGGGAGAGAGAGATAGAAACATCAACGATGAGAGAGAATCATTGATCGGCTGCCTCCTGCACGCCGCGCCCCCCCCCCCCCCCCCCCGGGGATGGAGCCCACAACCCGGGCATGTGCCCTTGACTGGAATCGAACCCAGGAACCCTCAGTCCACAGGCCTATGCTCTATCCACTGAGCCAAACCAGTCAGGGCTCTACTCACATTTTTATTATTTCCTTTGTTACTTTAATTTCCTTTTCTTTTTCTCTAATGTGGAAGCTAAAATGGTGGATTTTAGATCTTTCTTTTTTAATATATGCATTCAGTGCTGTAAATTTCCCACTGAGCTCTGCTTTTGCTGCATCCCAGAAATTTTGATAAGTTGTTTTCATTTTCATGTATTCAAAATATTATAAATTTTTCTTGCGATTTCTTCTTAGACCTATGTGTCATTTAGAAGTGTGTTGTTTAGGCCCTGGCCAGGTGGCTCAGTTGGTTAGAACATCAGCCAAATATGCCAAGCTTGTGGGTTTAATCCCTGGTCAAGGCACATATAACAATCAACTGGTGAATGCATAAATAAGTGGGATAACAAATCAATGTTTCTCTCTCTTCTCTCCCTCTCAAAATCAATCAATAATTTGTTGTTGTTAATCATCACCTGAGGATATTTTTTCTATTGCTTTTCAGAGAGAGTGGAAGGGAGAGATGGCATGGTACAGGGGGAGAGAAAGAGAGAGAGAGAGAGAGAGAGAGAGAGAAACATCGATGTGAGAGAGACACATCAATGGTTGCCTCCCACACGTACCCTGACTGGAGTCCGGGAGGGAACCCACAACTCAGGTACATACCCTTGACCAGAAATCGAATCCATGACCCTTTGATGCTTAGGCTGACACTCTAACCACTGAGCACACCAGGCAGGGCAAAAAAAAAAAATGTTTAATGTGTGTTGTTTAATCTCTATTGGGATTTCCCCATTATCTTTCTGTTTTTGTTTTTGCTTGTTTTTTATTTCTAGTCTAATTCCATTGGGTTCTGAGAGAAGACAATGTATGGTTTTTATTCTTTTAAACTTGTGAAGATGTGTTTTATGATCCTGAAAGTGGCCTATATTAGTGTTTCATGTGAGCTTGGGAAGAATGTGTATTCCTCTGTCGTTGGGTGATATAGTCTATACATGTCAACGGTATCCAGGTGACTGATGGTGTTCTTAAGTTCATCTGTGTCCTTCCTGATTTTCTGCTTGCTGATCTATCCACTTCTGATACAGGAGTGTTGAAGTCTCCAACTATGACAGTAGATTCATGTATTTCTCTTTGCACTTCTACCAGTTTTTTTCTCACATAGTTTGACACTCTGTTATGGGGTAGGTGCATGTACATTAAGGACTGTTACATCTTCCTAGAAAATTGACCCTTTTATCATTATTTAATGTCCTTCTTTGTCCCTGGTAACTTCCTTTACTTTGAAGTCTGCTCTGTCTGAATGGAATATCGCTCCTCCTGCTTTCTTTTGATTAGTGTTAAGGTGGTATATTCTTCTCCGTCCACTTACTCTTACCCTATGTGTGTCTTTATATTTAAAATGGGCTTCTTGCGTGGCCAGTGTGGCTTAGTGATTGAGCATTGACCTATGAACCAGGAGTTTACAGT